GGCGATAGCTTATATTTTTTTTTTTTTTTTTTTTTATAATTTAAAAAAATGGAAAGATAATATCAAAAACTTTTTTTATTCTGTCGAATGATACCATTTTGAAAAATATTTTTTTTTTGCAACAAGTTAAAAAATATATACTAATCCGCAACTACATTGGCCGAATATTGGCATGGCATAAATGTAAAAACAGATTTTTTAGCAAAATATTAAGCCTAAACGACATTGGCCAAATGTTGGCCCAACGTAGTATGGTAATTGCAAAAAACCGATTTGTAGAATTGCAATAATACGTCGAAAAAAAAACATTGGCTAAATGTTGGCCCAATATAGAACGGTATTTGCAAAAAACCGATTTGCGGAATTAAAAATAATATGTCGAAAAAAAACATTGGCTAAATGTTGGCCCAACGGAATAAACTTGCCAATGTTAAAACTTACGTTGGGCCAATGTAAGCTTGCAGTTTGGGATATATACATATATATATATATATATATATATATATATATATATATATATATATATATATATATATATATATATATATATATATATATTTATGCATATACATATATTTTATTTATTTAGTTTTGTTTTACGTTATTTATTTTTTATTTTGTTTAACGTTATTTACTAATTTTTTTTTAGAAAATATTTTGTGTACAAAGTCACCTCCTACCTTTAGCTGTTTACCATTTGCCGATATAATAACCTTAATTATTTTGGATACTTCGTTGTAAGCGTTATTTTTCTTATTTATCATACTCTCAACACCGAAAGTACATCAAGAGGACAAGATTCTGATATTCTTCCTATAAATTTGACTGCATTAGCTATAGATTCTAACAAGCATAATTCTGTAGAACAGTTTCAATACATGTAAAATTTTAAAAACTATTAGATGAGGCTTAAATGAAGCAAAATATAATTTCCAAAAACAAACAAGCTTTAAAAGCATTTTATCAAGGAAGGTATTATGAAGCAGTTGTTATGTGGCATGAAATTATCAAAATAGCTATTGTTAGTAATAAAAATACCAATATTGCTAATACTAGTAATGAAAATATCAATACTGCTGATTATGCTGCGGTTCTTTATAATAAAGCCCGTGCTTATGAAAAGCTTGAGTGCCTATATTTAGCTCAAAAGTATTACCAAAATGCTCTAGGAAAAGATTCTAATCATACTAAATCGAAAAAATATTTAAAAGATATTAAAAATGCTTTAAAGAGTTTTAAACAAGAGACGCTAAGAAATAACGTAGAGCAATTTATAATGTTAGAAAGTCAGTGTAATAATGAAACAAAAGTCAGCATCTTAAAAGAGATAGAATTAAATGAATATGGAATTTTAGTAAAAAAATTCGCTCACAAAAAATCTGCAGAAGAAGTAAAGAACTTAGTAATAATTCTCAATGATCTAGGGTATTTGACTACCAAGTTAGGAGAGTTAAACAAAGAACTGAAATACTACATTGAAGCTGCAGTTTTTTATCAATATATGATTGCTATAATAAAAGAGAAGTTAAATAAGGAGTTTATAACTATTGAAGAGAAAAATGATTTTATAAAACAACAGCTAATAAGTCCATATCAACAATTAGCCTATTTACAAAAGTTGATATTTTCAGCAATTAGCGGAGACCAAGTAAACATTTTGGATGTGAAAGAAGAAGCAAAAACTAATAAAAATCTATTATTAGCGATACGAAAGAAAACTGATCAAAAAATGATAGAAGTAGAATCCTATTACCAAAAATCAAAAACTGATAATTTAATGGAGCAACAAATAAATAAAGAGTTATACATAAATACCGCAAGAGTCATCTTTCAAGAAATAGCTTGTGAAATGAAAAGTTTTTTGGCAAAATTATATCGGGATAGTGAACAAGAAATAGCTATAGCAATGCCATGTAAATATGCAGTAATAGGACTTGGTTCAATGGCTCTGAACCAAATGACACCTTACTCAGATTTTGAGTTTGCTATCCTAACAGAGAATGACGATTACCAAAGAAGTAATGAAGCCAAGATAAGAGATTATTTTAAAAATCTCAGCTATTTAGTTAATTTTAAGTTAATCAATCTTGGAGAAAGTATTATTCCTACTAGTAAATATAGCATAGATATAGGTCACCTAATTCACAAAGGAGTAAGCTTTGATTTAGGAGGCAAGACACCACTTGGAAGAATAGATAATGACAAACCATATGAACTAATAAAAACAGTTAAAGGGATGATGAATTATGTACTTAATGAGGGAAATAAGGTTAGTCATATAGATAAAAACTTACCATTTATACTAGAACACGTATGTTATGTTCATGGATATGAAGAGCTTGTGAAAAATTTTCAAAAAAAAGTTATAGAGTTTTTGCATAACAAAAACACAAATGACCCACAAGGTAGATTAAACTGTGAGATAAGAGCCATTAAATTACTACAAGAAGGCACAGTAGAAATTGATTATCTTCAAAAACAAAAAATAAATAGCAATCTTAAAAAGACTTTTTTTAAAGGAGATCTAGACATGCACAAACCAAGTTTGTTTGATATTGATAATGAAGGCAGGTTATTTAATGTTAAGCGGGAGATCTATCGATTACCTGATCGCATGATCTATAATCTCGGCCTTTATTATGGTATTGATGGGGGTAGTGGCTGGGATACAGTAGATAAATTAGAAGAGCGCAATATAATTACTTCAAAAGCAGCATTTAATTTAAAATATGTTATAACTTTTCCTTCTACCGTCAGATTAAAGATTTATTCTCATTATAAAGCTCAGAATGATGATTTGTCAATATTTACTAGACCAGCTAATATTGAAACTAAGCAAAAAAAACCAACTGAACAGATTTGGCGATTAGCTGAAGCTGATTTAGGTGAACAAGGTGGTTTATTTCATTATTTTTATACTGCAATACCTTTACATAAAAAATTAAAACATTTTTGTTTCCATAGTAAAGACTTCAAAGACACAATTAAGCAAACATATTTTCAGACATGCATTTTTTATAAAGATGATTCTGCTACTAAAGGACTTATCTATTATAGATTGTTACAATATAAGAAATCTCAAAGCTATTTAGAAATTGCAGTACAAGACCCAAAAAATTGTTTCAATGTGGAAATAAGACAGGCTTTAGGAATAATATATAAATATTTTGGTAAAGACAACCAGGCTATAAAACTATTTAAAGATTGTTTAGAGAAAGCAATAGCCATACATGGTAATGAGCCTAATTTAAAACTTGCTATATGTTTAGATTTTTTAGCTTCAAGTTATCGAGGAAAAGATTATAAAAAAGCAACTCAGTGCTCAAGGGAAAGTTTAAAGATATTTAACCCCCTTAATAAAAGAAATTTTGAGTATGTTTCTGTTTGTTCAAATCTAGCATTAAATTATACTTTAGAAGGAAAATATGATGAGGCAGATAAGTGTTTCAAAATGAGTCAAAATATGGTAAATGACTTGAATGTTGAAAAAGAGTTTACAATTATTGATAATGGTCTTATTTTATTTTATATAGATAAAGCACAATTTGATAAAGCAATTAAATACATTAAGAAAAATTTAGATAAGTTAAAACACATATATAAGGGAGAACCTAATAATGATGTTGCCGCGATGTTATTTCATCTAGGTTTAGCTTACGCTGGTAAAGGGCTATACTGTGAATCAATTATATATTACATTATGTCTCTAGATATGGTAATATACATCCATGGTGAAGAAAACAATCTTCAAGTTGCTGGTTGTTATTGTAACTTAGCAAATGTCCATATAGATATAGGACAAATTGATAAAGCATTTGAATATTATAAAAAAGGCATCGATATGTTAAAACAAATATACAAGGAACCTCATCTAGATGTTGCTATTCAATTAACCAATTTAGGAAGTTTATATATTTACAAAAAGCTATATGGCGAAGCGAACAAGTGTTTAAAGGAAAGCCTTATAATAAAAGAATTAATTAGGGGAAAAATTCCTCATCAGTGTTTTGTTAATAGTTTTATTGGTTTGGGAAATATTTGTTTATCTGAAGGAAAATATGACCAGGCAAAGGAATATTTTAAAAAGAGCCTAAATATGAGCAAAACTATACACAAAAAAGAACCCCATCCGAATGTTGCTAACGCGTTATATTACTTAGCTTTATATTTCCATTTAACAAAACAGTATAACAAAGCAATTATGCGTTTTAATGAAAGTCTACGTATCATGAAATCCTGCCAACTTCAATTTCATCCAAGTTTTGCTGCATCTTTAAATGCTTTAGGGATAGTGTATAGAGCAAATAATCAATATGATCAGGCAGTTAAGTACATTCGCCATGCTTTGCAAATAATATTATCTTTTAAAGATCATCCGTATACAAATTGTATAGTATATAGTTTAGTTATTAGCGCCTTCTTAGTTACAACAAATACTTCAAATTGGCAAGAGGCTCTAAATAAAGTTCTTTATTTTGCTTCACAAAAACTATATTTTACAGGTTGCAAACTACAATTAGGTATTTCAAAAGATAATGATAATACAAGTGAATCGCAAATGGCTGAGCAAGCTAAAAATTATAATATATTACTAAAGATTCTGTTTAATGTTGAATCAGAAACAAAATTGGAAATATGTAGTAAAATAAAAGGCCATGAAAGTGCTGATTTAGTGTTAGCTGAAGCAGAAAGAAATTTATATATACTTCTGGAGCTAATTACTGCTGAAGCCAATAACTGTTTGTTGAACAGTATTAATAATGATAACATTAATGATACTTATACTACCCCAAAATACCAGCAGTAGGTTAAAACTATTATAAAAAAACTGTACTACTCTCCAGTCCTTAATATAAAAAGGGGGGGGGCGGAAGGACGTTTAAAGAGGGGGAAAGACAAACCACTACCCCCACCCCTTTATTGGATCTGGGCTAAAACCCAAGCACCCCTTTTATTTGCACAACACACCCTCTCCTTTTATTCCTACCCGACCCCCTTGTATTAAGTACTGGAGAGTATATAAACTGTGAGTACTTTTAAATCTTCTTTAAACATTTATGTAATAGCATTTGATCAAATTGTAAAAACTTTATAAGCTTTTGTTTGGTTTATATATTTTTTGTAAAAGCTTTATATGCTTTTGGTTTATACATTTTTTGTTAACCTTTTTCATTTTACAATTTTGTATCAAGGTAAATGTTTGTTTTAGATATTTTTCTATTTTGCGAAAAATGATAACATATTATTTTTTTTCAGATTTAAAAATAGGGTGGAATGAAAACTAAAAAAAACAAAAAATTTAAAGGTTTTTTATAATCGCAAAAGTTACCTTAAAAAATTAAAAAAAAAAAATTCCAAATATTGCACCTCTCTACTACAGCATTATAAGGTGAAAGCAAAGATGAAAAAATTTTCATAAAAAAAAAACCTAGTTGTGTGTGTGTGTTTTTTTTATCACGATAATCTTACATAAAATGCAAACTAGTGCAAGTAGAAATAGTATCATCTTATTAAATTGAAAAAATACACATTTCGCACATATTATTCTATCCAATAAAAAATAACTTTTACAACAAATATGTAATTTTCTCTTTTTTTTATGCTTGTTTAGTTCATTATGCTCTTATAATACGATTATTTGTTTATTGTATCATACATTTATACACTGACAGATACAGGAAATTTTTTTTTGGGAAGAGAGGGATATTGAAATATTTTTGTAAAACACATTTGCGTCTCCTAAAAAAAAAAGTCCTAAAAAAATTGCGTCTCCTAAAAAAAATTTCCAAGTTAGGACTTACAGATTTTGTTAGGAAGGATTTCCCCTGAATCTGTCACAGCATGTATAATGGAAAGAATTTTTTATAATAATTTATAGCAAAATTAAAATATTCCTAACCTTTTAAAAATATTTTTTCACAGTGTTTGAAATGTGTTTTTGTACCTTATTTTGGCTTTTTCTTCTGAGATGCAAGTTTTGCTTTTATAAAACTCTCTCTTGAAGATAATCCACAGACAGCCAGAGATAAATCAGTAACAAATTTAACTGCTCTTTTCAGAGTTGTACGTAATCAGGGAAAATCAATCATTTCAACAGTTTTTTTAATGAGTTGTTTCAGGAAAAACTATTGGAAATACACTTATCGTTGGGGTTTTATAATTTATTATGATCTATTATTTATTTAAGATCAGCAGTTAGATAGAGAGAGTAAAAAAAAAAAAAAAAATTAGAGATGTTTAGATCCATTGAAGCATGACAGTTATATGTTAATTTTAAAATAAACTGGTGTATAAGCTGTAGCAATAAACTCAACCAGAATATGACGGTTGTTTTTGGAATTTTCAGTTGCTACATACAACTGATGTACTTGAGTTAGTTATATAAGTAATCTGGAGTTTTCAAGAGGTTTTCAAAAATAAACCAAATAATCAGTATCGAATATATATAGCGATACACATTTCTACTAAACACTACTATTTTGTGCTAAATCCATTATATATTCTAATACTGAGATAGCTTCGGCGATTGCCAAATAAAATTGGCCCAAACGTTGAAAATCGGTGTTGGCCCAATTGAGACTTCATTATTGTTTAGGCATTTGTCCAACGTCGTATACAGCATTAGCCCAATATTGTATGAAACATTGGTAAATAACGTTTGACTAATGTTTTTACAATGTAGCTGTACTGTAACTCAACAATAAATGTTGTATATTAGCCCAATGTTTTATGCAAATTTTGGATCGTTGTTACAAAAAAATGATTTACATCGCTACATTTAAATTTATAGAGAATTAAAAACATGATACAAGAAAAGTTTATTTATTTAATTAACATAATTTCTTCATTAAATATGCATATTGCAAACTTCAATCATAAACCAAAAACTAACTCATTGATTTTTTAATTAAAAGATTCTTTATAAAACATATGAAGTATTTTTATAATTATTTAAACTACTTAACAATAAATTTACTTAAACATTTAATTATTTAAACTTTTTTATTTTTAATTTTTTTTTGTAAATTTATTTCCTTTCAATAAAATAAATTACAATTACAAAATAGCTTTATTACAAATATAATCAGCAGGACTTCCAGAAGATCATACGTTCTTATCATGAAACCCTTTATAATATCAAATATAATAATAATAACAACAATAAAATCAAATTAACCAATAAAGATAAATCAACATAAACTAAATATAACTGCGCATTTAAAATATAAATATACTGGTTAAATAATGTAAAATATATGAAACAAAAGAGCTAAAAACTAGAAAAAACATTTTCTGCTGATAAGATAACATCTTTTAATTTTCGTTTGAGAAAGTTAAAGTCCATTTCAAAGACAAATACAAATTTGGTAAAACTATTTTATTCCATAAATAAGGACCACGATAAGAAATAATTAGTAGTTCAATTTTGGTTCGGCAGAAAGGTTCTTGTAGATTTTTCCATTGTGAAAATTGTATTTGTTTATGGGTTTAACATTATAAAAGGATATAAATAAATCAAGAGATAAATTATTTTTACATTTAAACATGAAACATAGACATTTAGTTCGTATACATTTAAGGCTTTCATTTCTCTCAGAAGTGGTTTTGAATTTGAAAAACAATTTACAAAACTAATTAGGCGAGCTGCGTGTTTCTAATGATAAAGAGATTTAAGTTTAGTTTTGTGCCCGCTTCTCTATACAATATTTGCATAATTTAAATGGCAGTGGATAAACGGATAATATAGTTTTTTTTAATCGTTGTTTATTTAAAACCGTCCCGAAGAGGTCTTCCATGGGGGGAGGGGGGTGTAAGTATTTTTTTGCCAACTAAGGACACAAAAAAAAAAAAAAAATGCAATCAATACTTGCAATTTGCCAACTATAAATATAGCAAACTATATTTATATTTTAAAATTTGCCAACTCAAATGCTTATATGACAGCTTTGGGGGATGGGACACCCCTGACATCCCCCCTTTTTTATTATGTAACTTTTTCCATTTTTAGTATTGTATTATCAATGAAGAAGTCGGGCTTCGTATTTGGTAAACATTTTTTTCTGGATATTGGGTGAAAAAAATGTCCTTTTTTATTAATCAATATTCAGGGTTAATTTGTTTTTCTTAAACAAATATAAGATTTTACTTAATTCTTGTGTCATACTGTTAAAAAGCGTAATTATGTTTTAATGAGATTGGAATAGCTTTTTGTCATCAGCAAAAATTATAGTGGTTAAGTTAGAGGCTTTCTTAAGGTCGTTTATATATAATAAAAATGATATAGGCCCAACTATGGATCCCTGTGTGACACCATATGTTACATTCATAAATAAAGGCAAAGAAGAGTCTTGGATATTAACAAACTGCTTACGATTACTAAGCTTTTGAACCAGCTCAGGGATTTATCTTTAATTCCATAGAATTCTGATTTTTTTAATAGAATATGGTGATTGACACTATCAAAGGCTTGAGACAAATCGATAAATACACCTAGAGTATAATTAGAGTTTTTAAAAGAATCAGAAATGCTAGGTGTTAGTTGGAGAATGGCGTGTTCAGTAGAATAGTTTTTCTGGAAGCTAAATTGATTATTATATAAAAGTTTAGTATCAACAAAATAATTGTAGACTCTGTTATACATTATTCTTTCTAGTATTTTAGAAAAAACTGGAAGAACAGAAATAGGACAATTATTTGTAATGTTACAACGGTCATCTGATTTATAAATAGGAGTAATTTTTGCTACTTTTAGAGAGTCTGGAAAATATTCTTGAGCAATAGAGACTTTACAAATTTTAAAGAGTATATCTTTCAAAACTTCAAAGGAGTCTATTTTAGCATTTCCATTGACGCAATCAGCCTCGATTGCCTTTCCGTTTTAATGATTTAAACGCTGCTTCGTTTTTTCTTTTGTTGGTAGTATAAAATGCGCTATTTTAAATAGTATATCACTTGCTTTTTTATTTGTGTTTCTTTTTGTGTATTTCTAAAAAGAATTGTTTCCAGTCATCTTCATTTAGTGTTTGCATGCTATTGGAATCACTCACTGACCATTTTTTATATCTTAGGCTCAAAGGGTTTTTAGATTTGTTAAGATGTTTGTACATAGTTAGTACTAATATTTTTATATTCGTATTTATCCTTTTGTTTTGCTAAGAAATTGGGTGCTTTGTTATGGTAATAACTTCGTCTTTCATGTTTAATTTCGTTATGCCATTGAACCGGCAAGGCTACCACAATATTTTTAAGCTCTGATTTTGTTAACCCTATTGAGTTAGGGGAGAGTGGTACTGAATGGACCACAAAATTTAACTTTTTTATAAAAACAATTTTTTTCCATATTGTCAACAACTATGGTGGATTTATTAATTCAGAAGTCAAGATTAATACCTTAACTAACAATCCTTAAATGTTGTAAACATTTAAGGATTGTTAGTTAAGGTATTTTTTTTATAAAAAAGATCAATATCTCCATCGTTAATAACTATAGCCGATATATTAATTCGAAAGACAAGATTAATATCTCAACCAATATATATCCTAGTATATTGTATATTATATTGAAAGTTGTAAACCATTGCGCATAGCAAGTTACATTATGAAAAGCAATTAAGGTAATAAATGGAGTTTAAAAACAATAAAGGAATATGTTGAGACATTAACATTTCTAAATTAATTAATACAACTTTAGAGCGAAGTCTCAATCAGATAATCAAATTTCAATAATCACAAACATATTTGTTGGCCTTATCTGCACACGGTACCAAACTTCGTTGTCACGACCCATTTCTTCACATATAATGCACACAATTTGTGTTGCGTCCGGTTTTCTTATAACAAGTTCTGGATGACGACTTGAAAAAGCTCTAAACTAATATACACCTGCATGTTTATTTGTTTATCAAAGTTTAGCAGAACCTCAACCTCTTTGAGAGCATAATCGAATGTTAGTGCTCTTAATAGGACTTAAACCATATCCATTTTTTTGCAGAAACTAAACAATATTGAATCAGTTCTTGTTCTTCTGTTACTGAAAAAGTTTTCATAGAGCTGTTACTATATGAAACGCATTTCAATTTATTTAATCCATTTGGGGATAGTCAAGCTTCTTTTATTTGCTTCTTAAGAGTTGAAAGTTTTAAATATCTCAACAGCTTTTCTTTCAAAACATTTTCATCTGCGTGGATCATATTATTGGGATCCCAATCACGTTTTAGCACTGTTGCTTTTCTATGTCTCATAATACTTCTGAAATGAATAAAACTTGTTTATAACCATTTTATAATAAAAAAAATTATTGATGCTATTTTATATATATATATGACATAAATATATATAATATATATATATATATATATATATATATATATATATATATATATATATATATATATATATATATATATATATATATATATATATATATATATATATATATATATATATATATATAATATATAATATATATATATATATATATATATATATATATATATATATATATATATATATATATATATAAACACACACATATAACATGTATAAAATGCTAATTTATATAAAAGCTTGATTGTAGAATAATTTTTTTATTATGATCAACAAACTTTAGTAATTTATTCATAACAAGTTATTTACAAAATTTTATTCTTGGTTTTATTAGATATTACATGATTTATTGTCTTGTAAAAACTACTGATCATGGTAATTGTCATTGTTTTTAAAAACGTATAAACAACATTTCAGATATACTATATAGTATCTAGCATTTAGCTTATCTAGCATATTATAATCCATATAACATATCTAGCATATAATATTTATTATATATAGTATATATAACAAATGTTATATGCTAGATGTTATTATAAGTAATAACAACTTTTTTATATATCGTAATAATGTAGCGGCATATTCAATTAATGAAATAATGAAATAAACTACAAATTAATAATTATTAACTAAATATGTAAGTTATTTGTCTGCCTAACTTAATATTATATTATTTGCTTACCTTAATATTATATTGAATAATTGAACAAGAGCCCTTAAGTCTTCGTTAACAAAAGTGTTTAGATATTTCGGTATATTTCCTAATTCACACTTCCTTAGTTCATTTAGATAAAAAAAAAAACTCTTGTATTTTGTTTTAGTAAATATAATGCCGAAGCGCGATATATACGGGAAACGTTAAATCCAATCCGTCAAAGTGCTGTTTGAACAGTTTTTAAAAATTCTAGACCCGATTACGGCATCTACAATGTGATATAAATATTATCAAATTGATATTAAACGAAAATACTATTAATAACAACATGAATAATAATAAATATTAAATACAAATGTTATTAAATGTTATTAAAAATCTCAGAGTTTCTTTTATTTTAAAGTACAACTGTTTTTCCGTTGGAGATCGCATCGGTCAAAAAAATTTAGATTGCACATTGAAGGATTAGATTTAGTGTTTTCCGATATATACTTCGCAGAAAAATGAACCGGTCCATTCAGTACAATCAATGGTGGATCATCCAGTACACCATAGTCATAAGAAAGATATATTTGGAAGCAATAGCGCTTTGTTTATGTTTTTGTCCCAGAAATTACTCGTTCTCTCTCTTCCGAAGGTGCAAAGTAAACAAAAACATCTCATAGCGAAAGTATTGATCTCTGTTCCACCCTAAGTCCGTTTTCAACCAAAGGGGTGATGTTTCACCCCGAGTGTGGTTTTTCGTTGAAACTTTGGGTAGGTCAGTTTTACTTGGGGTGAGTGACTTTTTAATGCGAGTTGATATTTCGAATGTTTCATTTCAAGCTAATTTTTAAATTTCAAATGCAAACACACAAGAGAGAATAATTTTTTAAAAATATTTTATGATATATTATATAATTTATTATATTTTAACATTAGATAATAATAAAAAAATAAAAAAATTAGTGTTTCGTATTAGTATATAAAAAATTGAATATTACTGTATTGTATAATAATGTATATTAGTATTGTAATATATTACAAATAATATTTGTATAATACAAATACGTATTTAAAATATGTATTGGTATCATCTAGTCTATTAATCTTTAATGTCTAATTTTTGTAATCCTATGATAGGAAAAATTGTTAAAATGAATCCTGAATGTTTTGAACAGCAAAAACACCAGTTTGAAAATGGTTAAATCTTAAAAACAAGTCAAACAGCTCTGTTTTATCAGAATGTGAATATACTTCCATTATTGAGTATTTGAAAGATAAAAATGATGGAAAAACTGGATATATTACGCTGTTTAACTTTTTTATGTTGGAATATAATTAAAGTAAACAGACTATACACCCCTTATTATGCTTTTCGTTGTATTACAGCTATTTAATACAGGGTGAAACTTTGATAGATTTTAGCTTCGATAGATAGAAACTTTAATAGACTTTTTAACAAAATTTGTCTGTGCATTAAATAGTAAGTTTAAAGGTAAATGTGTAATATTATATGGTACTTTTATTAATATTATATCACGCTGCATAGAATATTTAAAGTGTTTTAAAATTGGTTTTAAAGTTTCAATAAGTGAATATATAATTAAATTTATTTATTTATTCAGAATAATTTGCGAGAATCATCGCCATTTTGAAACTACAGTCGTGTAGTGAGTACTGTTAATAGCTTATTTGTAAACGCTATTATAATTTAATAGCGTTTACAAATCATTAGTGTAAATATGTTGTAAATTCTTTTTTACATCTGTCTGTTCATAATTATCCAAAGGGAGTTTTTGTTGTTTACGAAAAATGTATAAAAATTGTAAATAGTACGAAAAATAACAGACTTCTAAAAAAGTAAAGATAGTTGTCGTTTTACGAGCTATTTCGACCAACCATGACTGTGCTTGATCTCCTATTAGGTCAATTATTATAAAGCATCTCCTTGACTATAACGTTTTGTAAAACTGCAGGCAATTCTGAGCCAGTTTCCGATTCGATAGTGTCCAATCAAGTCATATTGAAAACAATCTCCGACGTATCAACCACATATTGAAAACAATCTCCGACGTATTGTTTTTTCATTTTCGATGTCTTCTGACTTTGGAATGATATTGCCGCGTTTCCAAAAAAGCACTTTTTTATCGTTTCTGAATATTTGTAAACCCAAAACTCGTGCACCATTACATTCTTCCGGCTCTTTTGTTAACAAACCATACCGTTCCAAATGGTTTACCACATTTTCAACTGATGTCTTTTTCTAATCAACGATTATGTCGTCGATATAATGGTCAGTTGCTTCACCAAAACCTGCATCAAAACTTAGCACTTTGCCTAAGATTGAAGCCATAATCTTCGGTACAGAATTTAACCCAAATCCGAATCGTGTAAGGTGGTATTGCATCTCTTTGTAGACTATCCTCTGACCCTCTGTGTTAATAGCTAATTTGTAAATGCTATTATAATTTAATAGCGTTTACAAATTCTTAGAGTAAATATGTCAAAATCTCTTTTTTACATCTGTTTGTAAATAATTATCCTAAGGGAGTTTTTGTTGTTTACGAAAAATGTATAAAAATTGTAAATAGTACGAAAAGTAACCGAGTTCTTAAAAAGTAAAAATAGTTGTCGTTTTACAAGCTATTTCGTCATTATGTCATCCGTGGCAAAAATAATCAGAAAATCTGATGGGTCTGGCGATGTTGTTGTGTGGCTGAAAAAAATCAAGCTGGTCGGAGAGCTTCAAAATATGGGCAATCTGTCGTTAATAATTCCTTTGTTTCTGGAAGGAGATGCATTTGCTTTGTATGAACAACTTAGCAAAAACGAGAAAGCCTCCGCCGTGGATATCGAAAAAGCTTTGTTGGATGCATTTGCGGTTAATCTTTTTGAAGTCTACAAGCTGTTCAGGAATTGAAGATGGAACGAAGGCAAATCCGTTGATGTATATATGGCCTGTTTGCGTCAACTTATGCAGCTGGCCAAATTTGAAAATGAAGAACTGTTGCAACGAGCTTTTATAACTGGATTGCCTGGTGAAATTTCAAAGCAGCGACAATCACAAGTCAAAATATTCGGGATCAACTTGAAGGATGTATTGAACCACGCAAGAGTACTTTTGTCAAAAGTAACGAAAGAAGAATGTCTTTCAACAGCAATCTCTGGAATGTATAAAAACAATAATAGAAAATTTGCTTCACGATTCAACTGCTACAATTGCGGCAAGCTTGGGCATGTTGCTCGAAGCTGTTTTGCAAAGAAAAAAACTATTACTGAGGGAATACAATGTTTTCGATGTGAAAAAACTGGACACATTGCAAGATTTTGCTCCTTGCAACAGGGAAACGCAAGTGGAAAACCTCCAGCACCAGCTGTTTCCCTCGACAACTAACGGCGCTTCTGATATGCATTGTGGATGTGAACACATATGCAGGAAAAGCACTGGTTGATAGTGGATGTACTCGAACCATCATTTTAAACAAAATGGCTCAAAAAGAAGGTGTTTGTGTCAAAAGAAACGAATACATGGTACTGGCTGTAAATGGAGAACTTTTGAAAACAGTGGAAAAGCTATAGTGACATTAATGGTTGCAGGAAAACAACTACAAGCATCCGTAATGGTTTTATAAAATGTTGTTAATGGTATTGATGCTGATATTGGTATGGATATTATTAATCGTTGTGGAGGAGTGCACCTAACGAAGAAAAAATTGAATTTAGTTTTGTTTCAATTCACACAGAAAAACAATTTGTTGATATAAAGGACAAGGACTTTGACGCTAATTTTGATTGCATTAAATGGACTGCTAAATATAAATGGAAACAAGATGAACCACAACTGAAGAACGTTGTCACGCAGTACAAAGTAAAACCCAAGTTAATACATCAATTTAACGAAGAGATGGACTTATGGGTGGAAAATGGTTGGGTGAAACCATGTAAAACAGATGAAAATAATTAAAAAGGGATTGTCCCCCAGTTGAACAAAAAAATAAAGGGAAGATACGACCTGTCTTGGATTTTTGTGAGTTGAACCAATACGTTAATTCAAAAAACGTTTCAAGTGATGCTTGCGATGAAACATTGAGGAGATGGAGAAGAGTTGGTGACAAATTTGCACTGCTTGATCTCAGATGCACCTTCATGCAAATACGAATTGATCCGGTTTTGTGGAAGCATCAGAGGGTAGTCTACAAAGAGATGCAATACCACTTTACACGACTCGGATTTGCGTTAAATTCTGCACCAAAGATTATGGCGTCAATCTTAGGCAAAGTGCTAAGTATTGATGCAGGTATTGGTGAAACAACTGACCATTATATCGACGACATAATTGTTGATTAGAAAAAGACATCGGTTGAAAATGTCGCAAACTATTTGGAACGGTATGGTTTGTTAACAAAAGAGCCGAAGAATGTAATATTAAGAAACGATAAAAAAGTGCTTTGTTGGAAACGCGGCAATATCATTCCAAAGTCAGAAGACATCGAAAATGAAAAAATAACTCGTCGGAGATTGTTTTCAAAATGTGGTCACTTGATTGGACACTATCCAATTAGAAACTGGCTCAGAATTGCCTGCAATTTTACAAAACTTTATAGTCAAGGAGATGCTTGGGATGGCCTAATAGGAAATCAAGTACAGTCAAAAGATGTGTAGATGTGCATATAGACCATCAGGAAATGGAATTGTGGAGCGTAACCACCACGCAGTAAAACGCACATCTGCGAGGGCACAGATATGTCCGTTACAAGCGGTATTTTGGTATAATGCAATACCAATGATTGGAACGCAAGAAGACTCTATACCTGCTTCTCTAAAAAATAAGTACGTTTGGCGTCTACCTATTCACAACACAAAAAGTCACGAAAGACCACAGAAGGACTCGGCAACCTATAGAATTGGAGGACAAGTTTATGTTCGTCTTGTTGGTGCAAAGTGTACGACGATTTAGAAAATTGGTAACGTGACCAACATACTCTCAAAAACAAATATTGAAATTGATGGTGTACCACGACATCTGAGAGATTTTTTTTTTTTTTTTTTTTTTGTTCTTATTACAATATACTCAAAGAAAAATTAGTTAATTTACAATAAGATCGTTAGGAAAAAATTACAATTGGATCGTTAAAAAAAATTTTAAATTAGATTGTTAAAAACGTTATTCAATAAGAAATAAATAAAAGATAAAATTAAGACTTTTTTGTTAATGTAAAAAGAGGTCTTGTCACCAAGAACCGCTTGTAAATTAAAACTTCATAAAATTCAATATATATATAAAGTCAAGTGCATATATAGTTAATCACATTTAAGGGAATGTGCTTATAAATATTCAACTGAATAAACTAAAATAATTCATCAAATTAATAACGTTTAAAAATATGACAATATATCATCATTAGACAAAATGATTTCTTTAAGGTTATTTTTAAATGAAAAATAACTCCATTGCAGAGAAAAATTAAAATGTTTTAAAACTATTTTGTTCTTTTTTCAAAGAAAAACTCCTCGAAAAGAAATACTAGGTTTTCCAAAATTAGTCTGAAAAAATGGCTGACAAATTAAATTATTATTTCTTAAATTGTATTTATTTTTTATATTTCAGCGTGTATAAATTATAAAAAGAAACTGGGGAAGAGTTAGTTTTACATTTATACATAAAACAAAGAATATTACAACCATTCAGCTGATATATATTAAGATGTGAGAAAGGTTCCTGAATCATATGATGAGAAAGTTTCAAGAATGAATAGTGTTGAAGAAAATTAAAGTAACGAAAGTGAGTTCGACGATTTACATATTTCAAGAGACGAAGAAGTTGAAAAGTCAGTTGATGAAGAGTCAGTTGCTGACGAAGAAATTGACGGTATTGAAGTCATGGATAATTTATTAACGTTGCTCAAACGTTCGACTAGAGAACGGAGAAGGCCGACATATTTAAATGACTATTTGCCTTAAGAACTTAGTTTTTGTAGAGATGTTTAATTTTGTAAAGATATCTAATTTGTAAATGCTATTATATACTGAATTATATACTGAAAAACAAATTTATGATATTATTTTAGTATAAGATATTATCATAAATTTGATAAGATAGATTTATATTATAACACAAAGTTTCACCCTGTGTACACAATTAGTGTATACATGCATTTTGTGTATGCTATTTAACTTTTATATGTCAAAATATAAATTAAAGTAAACAGACTACACATCACATTTTATGTTTTTTTGTTGTATTACAGCTATTTAATACAGGATGAAACTTTTTCGTTGTATTACAGCTATTTAATACAGGATGAAACTTTTTCGTTGTATTACAGCTATTTAATACAGGATGAAACTTTTACGTTGTATTACAGCTATTTAATACAGGATGAAACTTTTTCGTTGTATTACAGCTATTTAATACAGAATGAAACTTTTTCGTTGTATTACAGCTATTTAATACAGGATGAAACTTTTTCGTTGTATTTCAGCTATTTAATACAGGATGAAACTTTTTTGTTGTATTACAGCTATTTAATACAGGATGAAACTTTTTCGTTGTATTACAGCTATTTAATACAGGTTGAAACTTTGATAGATAGTAACTTTAATAGATTTTTTAAGAAAATTTGTCTGTGCATTAAATAGTAAGTTTAAATGTAAATGTGTAATATTATATGGTACTTTTATTAATATTATATCATGCTGTATAGTATATTTAAAGTGTTTTAAAACAGGTTTTAAAGTTTTAAGTAAATATCTAATTAAATTTATTTATTTATTCAGAATAATTTGCGAGAATTGTCGCCATTTGGAAACTACAGTTGTTTAGTGAGTACTAAAGATGTTTTCTCTGCTATTAATATTGCACATTGTTAAAATGGTCTGCATCTTGGGGCTTTAAAAACTTATAAGAAGGTACTGATTACTTACTGATATTTTTTTTTTGTTTTATGTTGTGCTTTTTCTATTGCGATAGTTATGGTATATTTACTTTTTATATGCTGCAGAAAATATATTGTACTAATTTTATCTAGCTTCAGATAAATACAAACTACCTAAAATATTATATTTTTCTACATTTTAAAGATTCAGTTTTCAATGTAGGGGTTTGCTGTATAAATAAATTAACTTTTCTTTTATAGATTATTGAGGGTTACGCAAAGATTGCTAGAAAAGCTGTTGAAATTTTTATAAGTTTCTGGCCGAATTTCAATTTAAGTAAAAGGCAGTTAAAAAAGCACCATTACAACCAATAATTTCTACTGTTTTTTTGCAACGTCTTCAAGTATAATCAGTTTTTTACTTTAAATTTCTAACCATGTTTTTTTAAATAATATACTCAGTTTGCTGTTAAATATAACTTTGTTGTTTATTAAATGTTATTCTGCTATTAATAAAGTTTGACTATTTATATTATATTTACATATTAAATGTACTTAGATTGATTTGATTGCAATGGAATCTAAGCCAGATAAGGATTTCAGATATATTGGTCATGTTGTTGATCATTTCAGTAAGTTTCATATTTTGTTTTCTAGGAGAAATAAAACAGCTTTAGAAACAGCAAACAATCTTAAAAGATTTGTGCTGAGTTACTTTGGTTTACCAGCAATTTTGCATAGTGACAATGGTAGTGAATTTGTAAATGATGTTATAAAATCCCTTTTTTTAACATGGCCTGGGAAAACCCAAATTGTAAATGGTTCACCAAGACACTCCAAATTCAATGTAAGTTTAATATGAATTAACGTTGTTTTTGTTTTTTTTTAATGAAAAGCTTATGCTCAAAGTTAATCAGTTTTATTGACAATACAATTATAGAATTTTTTTGTGTAACATATTTTGTTATCATTTTGACAAACAATTTACTGTAATAATACAGGAAAAAATATATATTTTTTTCCCCTAAAAATCTAACTAAATTTTTATAGATGATATGAATACTACATATGTAAGAAGTATTAAAACGACACCTTATGAGATTGTGTTTGGCCAAAAATTAAATGGACAATTCCCTTTAGAGGGTTAAGAGGTTGCAAACATAATTGAGAATTCTGATCAAGGTAAATTTAAAGATGAGTTGAATGTCAATCCTATCAAAACTTCTTTATTATTTTAAAGGCTTTTTCATTAAACAATCATTTTTTGTAACATAGCATGATGAACATAAATTTCTTTTTTTTTTTTATCTTTTTTTGTCATTTATGTTGATTTTATAATAACAAACCTGGATTACTTTCTTTATTTTATAATCAAATAAGTTATTTGAAATTCCATTTTGTGTGTGTGCAAGTTTCTTTTATAAAATATCTTTTATAAAATATATTTTATAATAAATTCCCTTTAGAGGGTTAAGAGGTTGCAAACATAATTGAGAATTCTGATCAAGGTAAATTTAAA